ACTGCCATAGTCTTCCTCCATTTATCAATGGCTTTAGTTTTTATTATGTGCATTTAAAGAGCAGATAATGAAAATATACAGAAGTCTCAAGCTTGGTGTCAGTCAGTGACAGCAGGAATTCATTTCTCTGTTTCCTTATGTTTAGGAAATACTCTTCCGATTTATTTAATTATTTTTTTACTTCTTTGGCTATTATGCATTCCACCATAAATCCCTTTCTTAAGATAGTTGGCATGATCTCAGCATCCTTGTTCTCTATTTCCTCTGAATGAATTCACCATACACGTCTTTCATTATCCAGATCAGTTGCCAAGGACATTCCCTAAAGTTGGCTCCTAGATCATCTTCATAATGGAGTGAACAAATCTTTCAGAATGTTTTCATTTATTCACCCCACCATTTCTTCGTTTCAACCATGACCTATCTGAAACAATTCCCTTTGCCAGAAGGTTGTAGTACCACGTTTTCTATGATGGGAAATTTGCCTTTAAACCGTGTTGGTTTAAAGAGGCTTTAACTACCAGATTTTCCCATATAAACTTTCTCTCTCTTCTCATCCATGTGTCTACAATTTCTCTTTTAATTTAGTCACAGTGTTAAAAAAGGAAAGGTGAATGTACATGTCCTACAGCTTTTGGAAAAAAAAGGCAATAACAAAGTTTCTAATATTTTTAGAAAATTCCAGAGACATTACATTTCTGAAATTACTTACAGGATATTCATGCTGCTATTAAATAAGAAGATAATCTTTATATGCTAATAAAAAAATCTTGTTGCCAAAAGACTATGACAGTCTTAACAAGTTAAAAAAAATAAAATACCAGGAGATAACAGATATTATGTTTTCTTTTGGCAAAAATTAACACTTCACAGCTAGCATACCTGTCTTACTTATTTAATAGGGTCTATAAAGACTTGCCAGGCCATTTCACTTGCAGGCATTGAAATTCACCACCTATTCTTTGCTGCTTTTTAGAGTCTAGGTGGGAAAATAGCTCTTGAACAGACTGGCTAACAAAGTTTTTTTCAGGTTTCATGACTACATTTACAAACCTTGCTATCTCTGCATATTCATTTATTTTAAGACAAATGAACTGAATAAATCAGGGAGTCCTTTGGGAAAGAAAAAAAAAAGAGATACTATATTTTTAAGAGAGGGGGAAAAACCCCACTGTATGCTGGCTGAGGCAGCTCCCAAATTGTCTCCAAATCTTCCCCAGCACTTCTAACTATGCACTCTAATGCCAAGAGAATGAATTGCTCTCACTGTGCGAATACAGAAGTGAATTCCTCCTATACTCTATCACTTATCACATATATTATTGTTTTTATGGTGTTCTGACTTAGAAATGTTTGGGCTAGACTCTAAATTCTCCCAAGGTAGAGGAACTATCATATGCTTCTGTCATACCATATTCACTTGGTTCACACTAAGAACAAACAAATACTTATTAAAACTGTTTGTTCTTGGTATGAACCAAGTGAATATGGTATGACAGAAGCATATGATTGTTAAAACTTATTTTTTTCCCTTTTCTTTCTCTTTTCAGAGAGGGGAGCGAACTGATGGGGAGGGGTGGGCAGGGAGAAAAGTGAGGCAATGAATGAATGGAAATCCAAAACCTCTGTAAATGTCTATTAAAATTAATAAACAAAACAAAAACAAACAAATGAAAAAACCTGAATAGGAAATGCAGAAAAAGAGAAAAAGAGATATTAGAGCATGTGAGAATACCAGAGTGTAGGGAGCAAGGTCTTTCAGTTCTAGCTGGGAAAGAGAGAGACCTTCTGACTCTGGGAGAATACAAAATTGTAGAGAACTGCCAATGAGATGGTCTAGGCCAGTGCAAAAAGACTGAGGAAAGGCAAAGAAAAACTAGAGTCACTGAGAAAATATATTTTATTTATACATATACATCATAAACATATACATATACACATATATGTATATATATGTGTATGTGTGTGTGTGTGTGTGTGTGTGTGTGTGTGTGTGTGTGTATACCCCCCTGGAATCCCTATTATTGGGCTGTTTACTGAAAGGCTGGCAGTTCAAACCACCAGTCACTCACCTGAGAAAAATGACATCTCCTACCATAAAGATTTACAGCCTCAGATTGACCCACTAGAGGATTGCCATGTGTGGGAAATGCAATAGGTTTGAATCTTTGCAATGGTCTTTTAGAAGCATCTGGGAGGTGCAAATGATTAAAGGCTTGACTGTTGTTGTTAGTGGAGTTCAGTTGACTACAACTCATAGTGACCCTATGACTAATAGATGGGAACTCTGCCCTATCCTAAGCCATCTTCATCTTCTCTGCTAGACTTGAGCCCATTGTTACATCTCATTGAGTGTCTGCCTTTCTTTTGCTGACCTCAGCAGCTAGTCTTAAATCTGGCAGTTCAAGCCCACCCAGCGGTGCCTCACAAGAGAAACTTAGTGACCTGCTTCTGTGCAGTCACAGCCTTGAAAGCCCAATGGAGAGTTCTATGATGCACAGACAAAGTTACTTGTGAATCGGAGGTGACTTGATGGTGTTTAGCAATGACAACAGTGGTCTTTCAGGTGGTTGGTTTTGTCATTTAGGCTTTGAAGATTTTTTTGAGCAGAATTTCATTTTTTTTTTTTTACGTCTTACTAAATTTATTCAAAAGAAGTTTTTGTTAACTTCTCTTCCTAGTTTTCTTTTCAGTATTTCAGATTTCTAATGACTCCAAAAGACATATGTCAGGTCTTTCAAGCTGAGGTTCCAAGTGTCAGGATCTGAAAGCCTATGCAAGTTGTTTCTGGGGACATGGGTTCATGTAATGGTTTTGTAAGAAAGGTTGGAATATGTTGCTGTTCATTGAAGTGGTTCAAACGAACGCCTACTTGTAGAAGTATGGGTCAGAAGCCTTGATTATTACCTGGAGAGGTACCTGGTCTCCCTCTGTAAGTTCCCCCCTCCACTTACTTAGAATGTCAATCTGACTTTAACAAGCGCCCACAGTGACTGAAGTTCAGCTTGGCTGAGTATGCCTGGCAATAATGAAATGCTAACCTTCTAAAGTTACTTTCTTAAACCTCTCCAAAGTTAGCAGCACTTCAGAATAATTTCTCAGGCATACGCTAAGGAAAAGACACTAATGTTTTTTGAAAGGGGAGGGAAAATGATGCTGATGTTGATATTCTAATGTCTAGTTTGGAGTATCTCACATGATCATCAAGGTCACTTTTTGTCTCTTAGGACCATGCATTTACAAATATCCCTTGGGGAAGTCTTTGTCCCTCATTGTCTTGCAAATGTCAGATCAGCCCCTTTTGGCAAGGTCAAGACACCCAAGCATGGGAAACACACATTAAAATAGAGATACTTCTTTACTTCCCCAGTTCTTTGCACAGTTACACACTTGTTTGTCCCAAAATAGATTTATTTTAAAAGGCAGGACCCTAGGGTCTAATTACATGTTCAGGATTGGTGAGGGGCAGAGGAAGCTCTCAAGTCTCATGAAGTTTAAGCTTGCTTGTCTTATTAAAGGAATCTAAAGCTACCGTAAAGTGGATCACTTCTCTCATTGAAGGTGGTCATCTTGATCAAATTTGAAAATGTTATTTTCAAAATTGTTAGTTAGATTGTTATCCTATGGGATCTTTCTCCTTTCCTACTGAGACATCAAAAGACTCATTGCTCTCTCAATGAGATAGCAATTGCTCTGTAAATGTGATTCTGCTTCATTCTAACATTTGTAATGAAACTAATAAATAGTTGCTCATTCTGATCTACAGGGTTCTCTGGTGGCTTAGATTCTGCTTACATGGATCTCTGTGAGTCAAAAGACACTTGACAGCAAAGAATGAGAACAACAGTTGCAAAACATGGGGAGATCCTGCAAGCGATTTTCAAACACCAGTGCAGAAGTGCTAAGCGCCACATATGGCATGTGTGACATGTCACAGCACAGAACTGAGAGCTGGAAGGCACTAGCTTCCCACTTTTGACCTGCTGAGTATGAATATGATCATGTAACTCAGAGTAAAGGAGGTTTCTTTTTGGTAGAGTTGTCTATCAAAGGAGCTGGCCACAAGAGAGAGTTCTCAAAGGAGCACTAACATCTGTAGTGGAAGGCAGTAGTTATCAAAGATGGCCAGAGAGAACCATTTCACAGCAAAGACACTAATGCTACCCTGCTCAGCTCTGCCCCACTAATGCTAGTCACGAGAGCAAATGGATATTGAGCACTGCCTCTGTGTCAGGCACGACTTTAAGTATGGAGTATGTACTTTTAAACTAACTCTAAGCAGTCTCCCCCATCATATTTTTGATCAAGAGTTAATTGTATTTTGTAGAGGCAGCCTTGCCTTCTTAAAAAGGACAATAGAAGTAATCATGCTATCTTGGAAAACTTAGAAAGTATCTCTTCCATGGTCACAAGTCTATGTTCCCTGAATGCTGAAGGATTTGGCAAGTGACATGAGACTGATCTTACCTCAAAACAACATGATCTTAGTGCACTGGTAAGATCAGCAGAATGTGAATGCCTTAAATCTAACATATACGCAATAGGTCTGAATATTACTCTTTTGAAATGTGTTTTGGCTTTTTTACTGCTAATAACTATTTTCCAAAGAAGAGTTGGCTTATCTTGTATGCTCTGTTAATACTTTTCCAGATGTCTAAGATCTGTGAGAAGGAGGGTAAGAATTAAAACTCAATATGTGGTGATAAAAATCCTTTGTTCTCTTTAAAATAGTTAACTCCAGCCCAATCAGCGAGTATACCAGTATGCCAGGGAATAAATGTGAGAGCAATTAGCATGAGCTACTGTACATTTGTGTGGTCTGCTTTATGTAAACAACATTTGAGGGAGAAGACGGCTGTGGTTTGGATAATGCTCATATCTTTGAAACTCGAGTAACCTATGTACAAAATGACATGTACAAAACATTCTTAGTCATATTCTTCTGCTTAAATTATCTCAGTAAAGAGAAATTCAGTGATTATAATCAGGCATGTGCTCACCCAGTGAAAGTCATAATCAGAAGGTCTTACTCTTCCTTCATCCTCTTCATATAAAGAAAAACCTTCTCTCCGGGCCTGATAATACTCTTTTCTTAACTTCTGGATACGGTCAGAACTTCCACCCATGGATCGTCCACTGCAGAACAGAAACAAACACCGCCAGATATAAACATTATTTATGAAAATTATTTTTAATATTCCTATTAAAAATGAGGATGTTCAAATTTTGAAGAATTAATTTAAGTAAGCTGGGATAAAGGGGTGTGTGTGTTTGGTTTTTTTTTTTAATTTAAAAAAGAAAGGCATTGATATGTTTATGCTAACTCCAAAGATCCAAACCTCTGAATTAGAATTGGCAATTTGGAATGAGAAAGTAAGACATGATAGCTGTCTTAGTGGCATCACTGTTTTTCTTATAATCCTAAGTGATAAAAATGTATGTAGGTGTGACAGTTTCTCACACAAATACCGCTCACACGCTTACTTTGTCTCATAGACATTGCCTATGTTGTCATGAGGGTGCAGTACTTAGAAAAAGATATCAAGCTGGGAAAGACAGAGGATCAGAGAAGGAGGAGACTCTCAATAAGATGGACTTGGACTTGAGCATTTTGAAGACTATGAGGATGATGCAGGAAAGAGCTAAGATCTGCTGTTCAGAGAGTGGCTATGAGCTGGAGTTGACGTGATGGCACTTAACAACAACAATCCGCTTACTTGGAATAGAGACCCAATTATTTAACCCAACAGTTGAATGTGTTATGCAGTTGACATCTGCTAATGTTCATCTTAACGAGATGCATGGCTTTGGGGAATGCAGGTTTGCAGGACATGTTGGTAAATGGGTACAGTAAGAACAGAGGGGAAGAAAGAAGGTATAACCTATGTCAGGGTACAAGCAGAAGAGCAAAACAAGTCAGTGGTGGTAGGACATGTCATCTTGTTATTTGTTTAAGGTTCTCTTCTCTGAACGTTAGCCGCTGCTGCTTTCTTAATAATCAAAGTTTTGACACGGATTCATTATTCCACCACAGACAGGTTGACTAGTAGCTTCCTTTTAACGTAGATTTATCTGTCATGATCTCTTCAACAGGCACACATAATACATTTCAGCGTTAGTAAGAAAAAAGGGAATAATGAGCAGATCTGAACCTTCAAACAACTTCTTTGGTCCATTTGAGACATAATTGAGGGCCTTGCTGTATTCCAGTTTAGGTTAACATCTGGGAAGGTAAAAAGAAACAATTCACAGTCCTAAAAAAACCTCATGGTCTGGCACTGGGGACAGAAAGGCTTCCAGAAGATAATGCTACACTGACGAGTGCCACCACGGAGGGCTGTTAGAAGAGTCACAGGAACTCTGAGGGAGGATGCTTCCTTTCCACAGGTGACAGGGTGGATGTTCTTTTTGACAGGAGAGAGCAGGCCAGGGAGGAAGATCACAGAAAGCTCCACAGAGGAGGTGAGCCTTTTGCTGAGTCTTGATGGATGCACAACTCGATAGCTTGCTAAGTGAGATGTGAGAATTCTAGGTAGAAGGAAAGGAAACATAAGGCCCAAAATGAGGAAACAGCTTGCTTTAGGAATGCAGTCCATTAATGTGGACAAGCAGTGACCCTCAACTTCCTTGTCCTGCTTCTCACTTAAATTAGGTGTTACATGCTCTTTCCCCCTTTTATTTTGAAAGCATATTAGGGGGAAAAAGTGAGTGCTGGTGAATACAGAGACATCCTAAAGACGCTCTACTATGTAGATGAAGAAAGTACGTTGTTGCTTGCCGTCAAATTGATGTAGAATCACAGTGACTCCACTTAATAGAGCAGATCTGCCCAGTAGGGTTACTTACATTGTAATGGTCACAGAAGCAGGCTAGCAGGTCTTCAGCAGCTGCTGAACTTGAATCGCTGACCTTCTAATTAGCAGTCAAGGTCTTAACCATTGTGTCACCAGGGCTTCCTTCATTCTGAGTAATTCAAGTTGACTATGATGTATATTCCCAGTGCAACTTTTTTTAAGGCAGTATGTCTTTTGACTTCTTGACTGCTGCTACCATGGTGCTGATTGCAGATCTAAGGAAAAGGAAATCTCTGACAACTTCAATTGTCACCATTTATCATGCTGTTGTTTATCGGTTCATTTAAGGATGTCTGTTTTCTTGATGTTCATGTGTTATATATATGGAAGGCTATAGTCTTTGATCTTTTTCAGTAAGTGCTTCCAATCTTCTTCACTCTCTGTAAGAAAGGTTGTGCCATCTGCATAATGCAAGCTGCTGATGAGTCTTCCTCCAATATTGGTTCTACATTCTTCTTTATATAGTCCAGCTTCTCAAATTACGTGATCATCATTGAGTAGGCATGGAGAAAGAATATACCCTCAAAGCATATCTTCGATGATTTTAAACTTTGCGTGTTCCCTTGTTCTTTTTGTACAACTACTTCTCAGTCTGTATATGTTTTGCATGAACACTGTAAAGTGTTTTAGGATTCCCATTCTTGTCAATGTTATCCATAATTTATTATGATCCACACATTCAAGTGCTTCTGCATAATCAATAAAACATATCATTGGGGGGAAAATCTGCTGTCAAGGACTTTTTCAAAGTGCTAAAAAAAAAGGTGTCATATTAAAGACTAAGGTGCACCTGATCAAAACCATGGTCTTTTCAATTATCTCCTATGCATCTAAAAGTTGAATAATGAATACAGAAGAAAGGCCAAAGAAGAAAGACCATAGAAAAAATAATGACTTTGAATATACCATGGATTACCAAAAGGACAAACAAATCTATCATACAGGGAGTCCAACCAGGGTGTTTTTGAGAGGGATGGCTAGCAAAACGTCACATTATTTACTTTGGGTATGTTGTCAGGAGAGTTCAGTACTTAGAAAAAAACATGTTTGGAAAGACAGAGGCTAACCAGGATTGAAAAATCGCAATTCTGGAAAGCTGTTTGGTGCTTCCTCAAAAAACTGAAAATAGAGATTCCATATGACCCACCTATTCCACTGCTTGGAATATACCCTGAGAAAATGAGAACTGAGGCACAAACAGAGACTTGTACACTAATGTTCACAGAAGTGTTATTCACCATTGCAAGAACAAGGAAACAACTCAGATGTCCAACCACAATTGGATGGATTGAGATATTATGGTACATTCACACAATGAAATACTATGCAGCACACAGGAGAAATTATTTTGCGAATTATTACCTAACTTGAGAGGGACTGGAGAGCATTATGCTGAGTGAACTAACTCGGTCCCACAAAGACAAATATAAAACCATTATTGTAGAACGAGTATGAGGATCCAAGGTCGGAGGGAGGGTGAAAGCAGAGGGATGAGGATGTGCCGGGGGGTGTGTGTCTGTGTGTGTTCATCATAGAGTTGTACCATTTGATGGAGGGGAGTGAGGGAAATTGGAAGAATATGGTCTAAAAACAATGTCTTTGAACTTTGTAAATAAATTAGTATATATGAATAAAAAGATCCTCAAAGCGATGGACTGTGGCAGTGACTGCAACAATGGACTTGAGGATGGTGGAGATAGTGAGGATGGAGCAGGATGAGGCAAGCTGCCGATCTGCTGTTCACAGGGTCACTATGAATTGAGGGAGACAGGACGACAGCGAGCAACAACAGGATGTACGTATGGTTTGCAAATTTTGGTACTTTAACTCAGTTATTAACAGCTATTGAGTCACAAGGCACCTTGGAGGTGAAAATAGTTTGTTCTCAGCTACTAAAGAAAAGATTGGGAGTTTTCATTTGCCCAGCAGTACCTTAGAAGGTACTAAGATTCTCACCACTGGACCAACTGACAGCATCAGGATGGATGGTGAAGAGATTGAGATTGTTCACAGCTTTAGTTTGCTTGGCTCCACAGTCAACAGTCTTGGCACCAGTAGCCAGGAAATTAAAAGGTGCATTGCCATGGGAAAGTCTGCTGTTAGGGACCTCTCCAAAGTACTGAAGAGCAATGGTGTCTCTCTGGAGACTAAGGTGCATCTGGTACAGGCCATGGTCTTTGCAATCACTTGTTATATATCAGAGAGTTGGACAATGACCAAGGAGGATAGAAGGAGAATTGATGCTTTTGAGCTGTGGTGCTGGAGAAGAGTATTGAGAATACCATGGACTGCTAGGAAAACGAACAGATTTGTCCTGGAGAGGGTTAAACCGGGTGGCTCCTTGGAGGCAAGGATACTGAGACTCCGTTTAACATACTTTGGACATGTTGTGAGGAGAGACCGGTCCTTGCAGAGGGACATCATGCTTGGGAGGGTGGAGGGACAGCGCAGGAGAGGAAGGCCCTCTATGGGGTGGATTGATTCAGTGACTGGGATAATTGGGATGGGTGTGTCAGAGACAGTGTGACTGGCACAGGACAGAGCAGAGTTTAGGGCTGTTGTACATAGGGTCGCTATGAGTCGCAAGTGACTCGACGGCACATAACAACAACAACCACCTTAGAAGGAGAATCTGGCAATCTATACAATACAATAGCCATGAAAGACCTCTATTATGCACTTCCACCCTGAAACTCTTGGGATATCCATGAGTCAGAATCAACTCAATGGCAACAAGTTTATTTTTTATTTTTTTTAATGAATCATAAGAACACTCATTGTCTTAAGTACGTATTTGGTCTGGACGTGTGGCAGAAAAGAGTATTGAACATACCGTGGACCATCAAGTGAACAAACAGGTATGTCTTGGAGAGGGCGAAGCCAAATTTCCCCCTGGAGGCTAGGGTTTTGAAGCTCTGTCTCACATACTTTGGGCATGTGGCTAGGAGGGACCAGTCCTTGGAGAAGGACATCAGGCTCTGAAGGGTGTAGGGATGGCGCAGGAGAGGAAGACTCTTGATGAGATGTATTGACATGGTAAGGTGTGGCAGAGACAGTGAGACTGGCTCACAATAGGGCAGGGTTCAGAGCTTCTGTACATAAGGTTGTTAGGAGTTGCGGGTGACTTGAAAGCGCATTAACAACAACAACAACAACTGTACGGGTATATAGAAGGAAGTGGGCGGGGAGGGACAGGCAGAGTTGGAAAGATAGGTAGTGTGGAAAACCTTGCCTGCCACCCTAATTATGAGTCAGAATTGACATAGAGTTGGACTTCTCACT